GTGGTACAAGCAGGAGAACGGTGTTGCTGAGACATTCACATAGCGGACAAAGATATTCATGGTTCTCTGCGTCAAAACTAGCCTGTTGCCGTGATCTATAGGGCCGCCGGTTCTCCTTGGCGAGTACGTTGTCGACGTAATCTTGCCAGCAGCGAGCGTGCATCACGTGGCCACATGTGCTCGTGTGCGGTGACACACCCAATTTCGCTGACAGGTACAACGGATCGGGCTCTTGAAAGTCGTCACGACATTGACACAACACGGTGGATTGCTGAACAAACGCAGCCAACACCATTGCCGAACCAGTTTCCGTCACGGTTTGATCCTCTTGGCATAGAATGCAAGTGTACATTTTCTGTTCGCACTGCCTACTAGTCTGATTAAAACCGACGGCAATACCTTCCTGAGCAGAATTACCTTCCTGAGAAGAGGCCTCCGTTACATCCATGGCTGAGCCACAACGAGCGGCTGTTATTTTAGCTTCTAGACTTACTACATCAAATAAAGTAGCATTCTTCTTCATGAAATGCTTCTGCATAGCTGCCATTTGGGCCATGATTTTCGCACGTTTCTGAGCTGCCATTTTCGTTCGCCATTCCTTATCCATTTTCTTGTTGGCGTTAGCATCATCGCCTGCTTGCTGTTGCTGCTGCTCGAACTGAAGAGGCGCCGGACTGGTCTCTTTCCCAGACAAACTGGCGACCTGACGATATTTGGCTAAAACCCACGTGAGTAGATCCTTGTGAGCGTCCATGCGCGGGCTACTGGTCAGATTCTCCAGCAATTTGTAAATCTTCCATTTCGTTGCTCGTTCGGAAAACGCAAGGAAAGGATAGCAACCGGATTCTTGTTCCTGTAACGCGTAGCCGATCAAATACAATACCTTGTGCACTTGTGGTTCGGAGAAACTCCTAGCTATGAAATTAAGTGCGCGTTCCAGAACAGTCTGCATGATGTGAAGCATAACGTCACACTGCAATAAATTCGCTACCAGACTGAACGATTCCGTTAGTCTAGGCAGCTTCGGCGGTGGACAACATTCCAGCTCTCCTTGAGCTTTTCGGCGCTTCCGTTGAACCTCTTCAGACTTGCTGTGTTCTTCCTTCGTATAATGATAAAAGAACACATTGTATTCCGAATACAAATGCGGATTGAGTTCGTACACGCCCTTTGCCGACGTATGCACTGGTTTCTTGAACGTCGCTACTTCGCGTATTATTCTTTCCAACTCGATCTGGACGTTGTGCATAACGTCCTCCGGTAATGTCTTGCTCAGCTCGGAGTGCGAGAGAGGTTTTATGCACAGTTGCTGTATGATTTCCTTCTTGAGACGATCATCTGCGGTCACCTGACCAACTCCGGGAACGTATCTCTCACCAATGATCGTGATGAGCAAGCCCAAGAACTCCTCCACTAGATTAATCGTCTGCCGCATGCTATCCTCCTCTGGATTTTTTAAAGCGTTTACCTCGAAGTCTGGTTGTACCCAATTAAGGAGATTAAACCTGTTTAGGACATGAATCAAGAATTCGTTGCTTTCTATCAGCGATGCGCCAACTTGCAATAAAACGATATCTCGGTCCAACATCTCACTACGGCATTTGACATTGTGATAAAAATATAATTGATTCAGCAAGGAGTAACCGTTCCGCCGCCACATGCCCGCGTGCACCTGCGAAATCATAGCCTGTGCCGTCAGTACGGGATCAATGATCTGTTCAGGAGTTGGTTTCGTTGAACTGCTAAATTCGGACGAATGAAAATGTAAATTATATCTTTCCAGATGCAAGAACAGACCGGCGAGGAATCTTGATAGCGGTAGATGGATAGAAACTGGTTCGGACGCCACGTCGTATTGCAGGCACGTTGCGCTATGATCCGCTAGCTCTCGCACCTGGCTTAGCGGCTGCTCGTTTGCCTGCTGTTCATATAATTTTTTCAGAATAGATGCAAAGGACTTGATTAGTACAATTCGATCCGAACTGCACCACTCCAAGGCCAATGTAATGACGGGTGACAATTTTATGTGCAGATTGAACGCTGACTCCCATTCCGGCTCGTATTCCATATGCTGTCCGACTTGCCGAAGTACCGCGTCCATGCACTGCATGTTGGAAAAGAGATTGTATAGCAGCGAGAGACCTTGCAAGAAGCCACGTCTCAGATCATCCGTCCATTCTTCTGGTTTTGCGCTCAGCAGGTATCGAAGGTCGTAAAGTATGAACTGCGCCCGCTTGAAGTTATGGTGTGGCATGTTTCTCTCAAACTCGAATTTTCCGGCAGCATTACATCGTCGGGAACTCTCGGACATAAACGTGGTTAATAGGTTAAACAGAGCCTCGTGCTTTGCGATGAGCAAATGTGCCAGGGTCGGCACGGTGAACAACTGAACAGAAAGCGAAACGATCGAGAATGAATGATCGTGATCGTCCTTAATGAAATCCTTCATAACAGATCCATAATGATTAGTGAATACAATAGAGAGCGCTTTTTTACTCTCATATTCCATGAGCATTCCGTATATGAATAACCTGTGCCATGCTGTTCTGGCGGATTTCCACAGTTGCGAATCTCTGGTGAGTATGCCCTGAACAACTGACTGATCAGGCAGTTTCGTGTTGAGAGCTATGTTGCTAAACAGGACACGAAAACCCTCGCAATGACTTATGAATTGTTGCAACCATTTGAGCAATCTTATAGCAAACGTCTGATGGGCGACTACGTGACTATGGAGAACGAGTACCTTGAGTGGTCGATTGCTATGCCTATACGTAAATTTCTCAACCTCACCTTTCAAGTCAGTGCACGGTTTAAATCCTGAGCATTTTATCACTGTTCTACCCTCTCTGTCAACACCAGTCACATATTCAACAGCTTCTTTCTGAGAACATTTAAGAACACGTGTAAGCATGGTTATCACCTGATCAAAAGTATGATGCTCATCGTTGAAGAGCACAGTGCAGTAAGTATCGAAAATATCCAATTGGTCGAACGCATACGGATAAGATGCTGTGTCTTTAATGCTGAGACTCGGCGGTAATGATACAATGAACCTCAGAGTCAGCAGTTCGTAACAATAATCCAATAATGCTTCGAAAGTCACTACTGCTCTCTCCGCAATATCACCTGGCAGCTTATTGCCACGAGACTCCTTCGTCAGGGTTCCCACAACATGTGTCTCACAGAATGGCTCGTTTTTCCAGGCTTCTGTATCGCCGCAGTCACAGCATCCACCTCCATTGGACGTACTCATTTTGTACTTATGGTTTCGATGAGCTGACTGCTTGAAACAGTCGACGCAGAGAACGCACGTAGAGTCCATACCGCACTCCCTGCAACTATAGGTCGGTTCCCCCATCTTAAACATTCTGCCACAAATAGTTGGCGGATTGTCCATCTTAGCAAGTTCCTTGAGAATCACCAGTGGATCACCACCACAGATAAATTCCTCCAGAGGTCTCAGAAGCATTCTGTTTGCCGTGTCTTCGTCAATAACCCATTCCAGACAGTTGCCGTTGAGTTCTGGAGTATATATTTTTGGCACCCAAAGTCGCCAGTATTCTCTAAAGTTAATATTTGTTAATATTCCCTTATTCATCTTCTCTGTCCATACATCTACACATCGTTTGTTTGTATCTGGGAATACAGGTTGCAACGAAGCAAGATTTATCTCTCCGAGGACCAGAGGTAGATGCTGATTTTCTCCTGTACTTTCACCACTCATTTTGTCTCACTTAAATTTGCCACGTAACGTATACTGAAACAATAAGCACGAGAGAAAACAATGATTCATAAAGAAAAATTATCTGTCACAGAGGAAAAAGATAAATATGTAAGTACTAACCAACAGGACATACACAATACAAATTATTGTAGATACAATCCAAGCACATCTTAATGTGTCTTTACATGGCTAATTCGGTCAATTCTTAATCACAATACATGGTTACAATTTCAATAGCCTCGAGTCTTTCATCAGAGTTCAGATAAATATTCTTGTGGAAAATTTCTATTGCACATATATCACCATCTTCAGCAGCTCACAAAATCTGAAATCACAGCCATTCATTGTGAGCTCACGTGCCAAACGGCGTTTAAATATGGTGCCTACACTCTTAAATATCGCCAGAATATTCGTCGCGAATTTAACATTTCTCTATATAGCTACATATACATAAGTACATACGTGTGTGGGGGGGGGGGGGGATGGGTGCGCGCGCGCGCGCGTGTATACATAAAGGAAAAGCGAGATCCAGAGCCAAAAGCGCGATGACACAGATTGTAACGCACATCACTGTATTGCGTTGCAAGCATCTCGTGTATATGTGTGTGTGTGTGTGTGTGTGTGTGCGTGTGTGTGTGTGTGAGCGCGCGCGTGCGTACGTGCGTGTGTGTGTGCGTGCGTGTGTGTGCGTATGCGTCGAACGATATATCTCGCGAATTAGTGAACGTTCAACAAAGTAAGGGCAGAGTTCTCCTTTTTTTTAAATATCAAACGAAAAACTTTTCGAAACGGCTATTTTCGTCGACGAGATACTCACCGTTGTTGACGAGCGGGTCAAGGTTAATAAAAGGCGTTCAGATCGCAAACTCTTTGTTCCCCCCGCGACCGATCAGTTTCATACCACCACTTCGCGACGAGACAACGATGACAATGACGTTTCGCGAGCCTGCGTTCACGTCGTCTCGATGTAGCCAGACGCCGTCGTCCGATTGTCAACCTCACAAAACCCGCACTCTATGCAGCACGCGTGGCCGCGAACGTTGACATTTCGCAACAAAATGAAACGACCGATTATCCTGCGCACAGCTGCTCGGACGGTGATGCTTCAAAATGGCTCGTGATTCAATTCTTTTATATTTTCCTTGATTCTCAGGGAATTTCGAAAAGTTATCATTTAGATTCAAGTTGGCTGCCCTTTTCACAAAAAGGTAGATAACTGAAATGACAATCTTTGCAAATTCCCTAGAAACAGGATAGAAAACCTAAACACCCGCACAGCAGCTGTCCTGTCCCGTCGACGACTGGCTCTACGTCGTCCGAATTCCGAATATCGTCGTAGTGGAACTGTCGCGACCGAGATTCCTAATATGGCCAGTGAAAAAAAACCGGCGAAGGCGCCGTCAAAAAGAGAGAAAACCGCCGAGGAGATACTGACGGAGTTCCAGTCGCACCGAAATGAACAGAGAGTGCTGGCAAATAAACTCTCCGAGATGGAGATGGAATTGAACGAACACAAGTACGAGTCCACCTAACCTAACTGCACGCTTGCCTCTTCCTCTCCGAGAAGAGCTTGCGTATTTTTTTTAACTTGGCGAAATTCGATCGACAATTGGTGCGTTCGAGAAGACCCTATTAGCACTACTTCTATCATTCTATCTTCGTTGTTTGTTAGATGTAAAACAAGAATAGAATGACACAAATAGCGTCTCTCCGAACGCACCTATTGAGATACGAGGGTCGTCTAGCTACAATAACACGCGACTCGTCACCATCCCATTAATACAACTGACGTTTTAGAATTGTTATCGACACGTTAAAGAATGTGGATCCTAAGAGGAAGTGCTACAGGATGATCGGCGGGCTTCTGTGCGAACGTACGGTGGAAGACGTGATGCCTGCTCTGGTAACGAACAAAGAACAGGTGCGACTTGTGACGAGACATTACTGGTCTCCTCTTGGAGCAGAACGTTGGATACGTGATAATATTAAAATATGTTTTCAGTTGATGAAAGTGATAGACGCTTTAAACGATCAGGTAACGAAAAAAGGGATCGAGATAAATGAGTACAAGGAAAAGCACAACATCAGAATCAGAGGACAAGATGATTTGCAGCAACAAGAAGAGGATAACAACAATAAAGAAGACAAGAGAAAGGCGATTGTTGTGAATCCGATTGAGATTTAAGTGTATTAAATATAAGTTTTTTTTAATACTACATTAAGGCATATTAAGACGTGCGTGGATCCTTAATTGGATAAATACTTTTTGAGTTTATTTCTAAATTAGTTTCCATGTTTATTTATTGTGCCGTCTTGTATATGTCACACCACTTTGTAACGTCATATCGCTAGGCGTTTGTTCCACAAGTGTATTTGACCAAAAAAAAGAAGAATATTTTAATGTCTTGTAAAAATTAGGTTCGTACAATTTCTGCAATTAGGTCTCTCGATTACTTGTATCTTTGCGTCAAAAGTCAAATAATAACGTAACGTTCGTACATTTGTCCACTGTAATCCATTTCGAATATTTATTTTTTCACATATTTTTTAAATTGTATGCTTGCACTCATTTTAGTTGGTGTGGAAAGAAGCTCTTACGTATATAAGCGCATAGATATAAATTGGAAAAATACGGCGAGATCAGTTTCGGAAAAAAAAAAAAAAAAAGCAGTGACGCGTCGAAAAATTTTTAATGCGAATTTATCCATCGAACACGAATGATACGAGAGTTAAAACCGCCATATTAATTTCTCACGAAATCGTCCAATCGCGCGGGACATCGCATAGGGAATTGTGCGCGGCACTTGCCGCGCGCGCGAGAGGGATTTTATCACAATCTCACAGTGTACGCAGCTACGTAGGGAAAAGAATCCGATAGGGAACACCACGCGAATTTATTTTTCCACTCCGGGGACGACGCTCCAGGATTTGTCCGCACCCACCGCGCCAGAAAGGCGAGCGATTGCGGAATCCTGGCGCGATGCGGCCCGCATCACGCCGTGTTTCACGCTAATCTGAGCTTTCGTCAAATCGCCACTACCTCCTGACGAGCCTCGTTGACCGGCAGACTCGCACGAGCCCGTCCGTGCGTGTGCATGTCCATTGGCGTATAATCCTGTGAATCCTGGTGGACGTGCACGTCAAGAGTTTGTGATGGCGGCGTTGTTAAAGGTTAGTGAACTTGGTTGAATAAATAAATTCCTGTGAAATAGAGGCACAGTACCGTTCTCGAGGACGGTACTGTGCCTCTATTCATGCGATGGTCGACGTTATCTTGTTATACGGATTCTCGCAATAACGGGCGCGTCCCGACTACGAAATTACGACACTGAATTCAAACTTCTGATATCGCGATTCGAAAGATTTCTTTTTTTGTTTATCGTAATGACGATTCAGCTTAGGCTGTATTCAGATTCCCACCCATGTGTCATCCAGGTACTATTTTTATTTTTGTTTACTGAAGGTTAAATAAGGATAAAAGTATGAGAACACTCGAGTAGGAAACGCATGGTGTCTGAACACATCTTACGTTTCAACGATTAATTGAATTCACGCTGGATATCAAACATTCCCATAACCTTTGTGTTTTCTGCTCCTTTTCCATATCTTAATCACTTATCTGATATGCAGTATTAATATTTAGGATAGGACACAATTCACATTCGAGGACAAATGGCCGTACATGCGTCCAATTATACTGAAACTGCTCAAGCAAGAGCCAGTGACGCAAGGCGAATGGCAGGATTTGTTTTATTCCGTTCATGTATGCCTCTGGGATGACAAAGGGCCCCCCAAGTTACGTGATGCTTTGCAGGAGGATATAATGGATTTTATAAAACAAGCTCAACTGGTAAGAGAAAGGGAGAATTTATTTATAAGTCAGAGACAAGACTGTACCGTCAATATCTTTTTTTTTTATTTTATTGAAATAAACAAATATTATACAAAGTTGTAAATTTGTACAGAGAGTTTTAGCGCATCAAGAGGAACAAGCATTACTGAAAGCTTACATTGCTGAATGGAGAAAGTTTTTTACCCAATGTAATTATTTACCAACACCATTTAGGCAACTAGAAACGTATCTGGCGGGAAAAACTAGTTCCAGCACACAGAAGAAGAATCAGCCCGACGACATTGTTAGAAAGGTAAAAGATTTAAATATATTTGGTACATGATACAATTAATATTTTGTAATTATTGTATGATCTTACTCCTCTCTATTATATAGCTAATGTTGGACAGTTGGAATCAAAGTATATTCAATGAAATAAAACAAAAACTTCAAGATGCAGCCATGAGATTAGTACGAGCTGAAAGAAATGGCGAGGCATTTGATTCTCAACTCGTTATCGGCGTCAGAGAATCTTATGGTAATAAATGAAACGTCCATAAATTTATATATAGCAATTTTTTTTTTATTAATAACAATGATATAATGCTCTAGTGAATTTGTGTTCAAATCCAACGGATAAACTCCAGATATATAGAGAAAATTTTGAAGCGGCATATATACAAGCCACCGAAGCATTTTACTGGATAAAAGCTCCAGAATATCTGTCTATGCACGGTGTCGAAAATTATATGCGTTACGCCGATTTGAAATTGAGAGAAGAGGAGGCACGCGCTCAGAAGTACTTGGAACCGAATACCGCGAGTATGCAACGACTAACAGACTGTTGCGTGAAAGTGTTAGTTGCAACCTTTAAACCAGCGATACTCGCTGAATGTCCACGGATGATTCAACATAATCAAACTGATAGTAAGTAATAAAAATTCACAATGTAATTTTTTAATTTCCCAGTTTACGATTAATTTTACAATGCTGCTTCTGTGATCGATGCTTATTAACGTGAATAAATAATTGTAGAACTTCGCCTCATGCTGAAATTAATGGATAGAGTACCCGATGGCGTTAATCCTATGTTGAGAAATCTAGAGGAACATATCGCGAGCGCAGGTCTAGCGGATATGATGGCAGCTGTAGACGTTATCACTCAAGATTCTGAAAAATACGTGGAAAGACTGTTAGATCTTTTCCATAGATTTTCCACACTTGTTAAAGAAGCATTCGATGATGATCCACGGTTTCTTACAGCACGAGATAAAGCTTATAAGCTCGTTGTGAATGACGCCACGGTATTTAAGTTAGATTTGTCTACTCGGCAGGGCTCTGGAATCTGTTGTGCATCCATTTTAAATAATAGACCTATTACTAATAATAATGGACTAGCCGAATCAAAGTGTCCAGAACTCTTAGCAAATTTCTGTGATATGCTTCTTAGAAAAACACCACTCAGTAAGAAACTAACTACTGATGAAATCGAAAATAAATTGAAGGATGTGGTCAGTATACATAATGAGATAATTATATCCATATATAGAAGTTAAAAATCAAATCTTTTCTGAGAAATTTATTCTATCTCGCATTTTTTATTTTAGCTGTTGGTGCTAAAATATGTTCAAAATAAGGACGTATTTATGCGTTATCATAAGGCACATTTAACTAGACGGTTAATATTAGATACGACAACGGATTCGGAAAAAGAAGAAAATATGGTAGATATGCTTCGTGAAGTTGGCATGCCCGCGGATTTTGTTAATAAACTAGCCCGTATGTTCCAAGATATTAAAGTATCTCAAGATTTGAATCAACAATTTAAGGAACAATGTCGAGCTGCTATTGCAGACAGCATAAATATTAAGGTAGTTATACATGCTATTGTTAAATGTGCATGTTCTTATTTAAGATTAGTATCAAAAAGAAATAGAAAAGATGTTAAAGATATGAAGAGAATCTGCTATATTTTTTGTAGATTCTTAATGCAGGTGCATGGGCCAGGGGTAGCGAACGCGTCACCGTAAGTTTGCCACTACAACTGGAAGACTATATTCCGGAAGTCGAAGAGTTTTATAAAAAAAAGCATAGTGGGAGGAAATTGCAATGGCATCATCACATGTCGAATGGCACGGTACTTTACACATTAATAATTCTATCCGTATTCAGTACTCCAAAATTCCAAAACATGCTAATCTTAATGCATATTTCATGACATGAATGTTTCAGATAACATTTGCAAATAAAGTGGGACGATTTGATATAGATGTGACGACCTTCCAAATGGCAGTATTGTTTGCCTGGAATCAACGACCCAACGAAAAGATCTCTTACGAGAATCTCCGGTTGGCTACCGAGCTTCCGGATCCCGAGCTGAGACGGACTCTGTGGTCTTTGTGTGCCTTCCCGAAGTTAAAACGGCAACTTCTTTTGGTGGAACCGCATGCCGCTACCCCGAAAGATTTTGCGAATGATACAAGATTTTGGGTTAATCAAGAATTCGCTATTGTGTTAGTATTTATTTTTATATTAATAAGAAATATGATAATTTCGAATTATAAATATGAATATGTGTTGTATATTTAATTGGTTTGTGGCTTGATCTCGTTTGTTTTGCTAAGTTTAATATTCATGAGTAAAAACATGCATTTTATTCTGAAAATAATATTAACTATTGTAATTGCTTCCTTAGAAAAAATGGCAAGATGCAAAAGCGAGGAAAAATCAATTTGATAGGACGTCTTCAATTATCAACAGAACGTAGCAGAGAAGAAGATAATCATTGTATTGTACAACTCAGAATATTACGTGTTCAGGTATAAACTTTTAGATAAAATAGTTAAATAACATCTAACACGTAGCAAAATATGATTGATGTTTATCCAGTTTAATTGATGATTATGAATAATTGTTATTTTTTGTGTGATTATAGGAAGCTATCATTACAATCTTAAAGATGCGCAAGATGATCACTAATGCGCAATTACAGACCCAACTAGTGGATATATTGAAAAATATGTTCTTACCGAGTAAAAAGATGATAAAGGAACAGATCGAATGGCTCATTGAACAAAAATATATTAAGAGACACGAGGATGACATTAATACGTTTGTGTACATGGCATAACACGGGATTATATATACATGCGAGATTGTTCGAGCTCTATGGCTAATATTATATTTTTATAAAAAAAAGGATTTAGTTTTCTCATATGTGAGGATACATTCGAGTCCATCGCATTGCGCGATTATGTTTCACCTGTTTTCTTACAGTGCAGTGGAAAGAAAGAAAGGACGATATACTATTGCATTAAAACTTGAGATACGAAGTCGATAGGACAAGTTGCAATCACCTCCACCCGACAATTGCCGACTTATTATACGTGTGAATAAAGTGAATTGTATAGAAAAACTGGAAAAATGTCGCAATAATAAGAAAGATGTACAATATCGTATCATGATGAAACTAGCATTTATCGTTTATTTTGGCATTGATTTATACTAATTTGAATATAGAGAAGAGAAAGTGGGTTAAATTAAAAGAAGAATTATATATGTATATACATACATTGATGACATTATCACAATTTTAATCGTTTATACTTCGCTAAAAAGATATTCCTGAAATTTTTATATTTTTTTTCTCGAATCTACTTGTATGAATATACAAGTAGAATGTAAACTAAATTTGTCAACTTAAATCTGTTGTACATTATCGACACGCTGCAACAATTTGGCACTAAAAATATCGACAAATCCTTGCACAAATCTGAACGACAGTGCACATATATATGTACATTGCATTAAAAATTCAATCGTAAATAATAAAAATTCGCATATACTTGAATAAATCTATATATATATACTATATAATGTTTTACATACGGATTTACTCGTCACTCTAATTAAATGTGGACTACTGCAAAACATTCGTTCGAATATTCTCCATACGGTACAACACATTCTTTTGATTTAGCCCTAGAATTTATAATCAAGTTTGTGCGGACGGCATTCGAAGAAATGTTCATAATTTTCATTTTCTGAATACACATTAAAAGCCCAACGAATAACGTTGTCTAATGGCCTATAATACTTTAATGCGTATAAGCATTATACCTCGCAACATCAAACTTGATTTTAACGGTGATAGAAATATGTGTATTTGTATGATGATTTTTTTTCTACATCTGGAACAGTCACGATTCGAATTGTTGGAATAAGTCAGAAAAAGTAGTTATTTAAGCAAATAATAACGACGGTTATATGTATAAAGTTTTTATATAACTTCAATAAGTGAAAGACGAGTGTAATGGTATAAAATCTCAATGAATTAAACGACAGAGTACTTCATAACTGTGTACAATACGTCCTTATCAAATCGATTTCCATTTTACCTATTATTATGCAGATAAACGCAATGACTTTCACGCGACAAGTAGCGTTTACATCAGGCTCTATACTTTTATATATATATATATATATATATATGTGTATGTGTACATAATATATATCAAAATTTTAAAGTAAAATAATTTATATATTTATATTTTCTTCTCTTTGATACAAATCATTTGTACATTATTTCTCTGGTGTAATAATTATTCGTATTATCTGTTTAGGATCTTCGGAATTGTTAGATAAAGAAAGATTGAAATTACATAAATGACGAAACAGTTTTACGCCATTCCATCGCCAGGAGAATATAAACAGTAACCATACTATACAAAAGTAAGTGCTGCTATAAAGTATTTATAAATATTCAACAATTACTTTTAGGTCACAGATCTTGCAGGAATTATATACGTTTCACGTACAGAACAATATATACATATACACAATCATCACACTGCCTCGGCATAAATCAGTAATGCTGATATGACCACATACGTCTCGCTACCTCTTTAGCTTATTTTTTACTAACTTAATCCTCTTAAAGAGCAAAGTGATAACAATAAGTTTTCATAAACTTCATTAACAAGAGACCATAGAGATATAGCTTTAGGATAGTATGTGTAACGTTTAAGCTAATGTGAGCTAGCTTTCTACGGAAACACAGATCAAAGAACCACACGATATTTTTAGAATAATACATTCGTATACACACACATATCACATACATATTAATGCCATATATTTCCGTAGATTTGCTTTTCGCATGCACACAAAACACAAAACGAAAGATCCAACAGATATAATCTTTAAGGCTTTTCTTGAAAACGGAAAGAAAAACATGAGAATAATTAAATAACGAAGTTAAACTGTCAAATTCGAACATTTTGATTCGATCGATTATTCTAACATTAGTATCATTTGTGGATTTACAACAAGATTGTTACGCATTACGTGCTGTTTAAGAATACAATTAACACACTGACAATGAGAGGTAGAATTGCAAAATCTCTAAATATATTTTGAACGATTTTTGTCGTCGACACATTAATCGTTAGCTTAATCAGATCGGACGTAATTTCTCACGATATGCAATTATTGACACTGAGTGAAACATGAAACAATATAGGCCTTGAAATTCTCGAATCTTCACCATATAGATTTGAAGAAATGGAGCGCAAGCATACTCTTCTCAGAAATTCTCAGTGGATAAATACAAATGAATTCTATACCTTGATCGATATATAATGATGGATATTTATCGTTAATATCATTAATATTCATATATCACTGCTATTCGCGGGAAGCTAGATATCAGATACTAGAGTCTGACCGAAATTTCGATTTCGGCTGAAATTAAGAGAAAATTTCAGTGGGGATAAACCGAAACTGTACAAGTTGCAACGCACCGGTAAGCTTTTAAAAACAACTGTTCGATTTTAATTATTAACTCGTTGATTAAACTTAAGACAATTTGAGTACAAACTTTGATGTGATCCTTTAATAAAATCTTGTTTTTTAAAGAGTACATAAATTTGTCATGATTTCTGAAAATTATACGGTCTCTGTAAAATTAATCCAAAAATGTCGATATCGACTCCGGCCGAAAAAAAATAACTCCGTTAGCTTCTCTCTCTCTCTCTCTCTCTCTCTCTCTCTCTCTCTCCCAGTAAGACTTATCTAAGGTTCGTTTTCAACCGAAATTGAATGACAAACGAATATTCGTTTTCGGTTTCGGCCGGAGGTCCAAATGTGGTTTCGGTCGGACTCTACCAGACACCATGTCGTTGTCTGTACTGTATCGAGCTGTAATTTTGTTCACAACATACTTTCGTCAACTGGATACCAATCACGCAATTAGTTTTGAATTATAACTCCAATATAATACTAATTTAAAATCGTTCGCTAGGTATATAATATGTCTCCTTTTCTAGCTCGTATCTGACTTTTTAACAGGGCATAAAAACGTATCATGTGACAAATCCGAGATGCGAATAAACGGAGGAAATTAATGTTCCGGACATCGCGTGTGTTGAATACGAGGCGTATTTTTCGATGGATTCGCGTTTTCGCAAACATGCACGACTATGCCTGGCTGCCCTGAGCCTCCTGGATGTATCTCGTGTGTGTCACCTGCAATATCGATAATTATTTATATAAAATATAAAATTGGTGTAAGTTTAAAATGATAAAAATCAATAACAACCTGCGGATAAATTGGCTATAGCGGTTAATAAATCGTAATTAACGAGTGGTTCTCCTTCTTCACGTGGCTCCCAACCAACTGGCGGAGAAGCAGGAGGAGATATGAGGAATTGTTTGGTAAGCGCGGGTGGTTGAAGATGTTGATCCTCCATATCTATAATTTATATTCCATATCTCGTTAATGCGTAATTTTTTGCACTTTATTAATTTCATCAGTGTGACAATATTTAAGGAGGTTGTAAGGCAAATGGAATATGTTAAGAATTACTTGAACAAATTACAGATTATTTTAAATTGCATTTAAAAGTAATACAAAAAAATTAGAGACAGCTTACCATCTAGATCAAAAGTTATTTCAATAGATAGTAATACTTTTTGTAATTTGTATTCTAATAGAAATATATGAAAATGTATTATAAAATAACGATAAAAATCTCAATTTTTTATACAAGTACTTTATGAATTTACGAATATTTATGTAAAAAAATGTTACATTGAAATGTAGATATTGATTGTTCAGTAAATAAACAAAATATTTATTTGTTACAATCTAATTGGTAAATCTCAATGAAACTTTGCATAAGCCATGTTTAGTACTTAATATATTTATATTAAAAAATTTAGATTTTTGTTATTTAAAAAATTTTTTGTTTATAACAATAAAACTAATAATAAAACTAACAAATAAAATAATCTATAAAAATGTGTTGCTCAATGAAAACAGAATGTTATGAACGCAATTTTCATATATATGTAGTCTGTTTAAAGCGTAAATATTAATATACGAAGGTCGTATGAAAAGTTTTGAGCCTCAACATGAAGATGGCATTACTCGTCAAAACGATTCTGGTACTACAATCGTATGTGTTTTGTATCTCTCTATAAAATCTAGTAGTTTATCTGGAACAAGAATACGGGTTCTAAAGGTACCCGTATTCTTGTGAACTTGATACGATGTTGAAGTCGCGCGCGCGAGAAAACGCGTCCCCGCTGGCAACACTGGATACCTATGAAAATTGTAGCCATTTTGGACGCTCATTATTTGATAGTCATTTGTGCCAGTCGATGTCAGTGTTTTTGCGTAAAAATGGAAAAAATCGAATATCGTGCCGTGATCAAATTCTTACATTTGAAAGGCAATACGTCAGCACAAATTAAAGCCGAGTTGGATGCTGTTTATGGGGACTCTGCCCCATCATTTGCCACCGTGAAAAGATGGGCAGCTGATTTTAAACGTGGTCGTATCAGCTTGGCTGATGATGAGCGTTCAGGACGGCCGATAACTGCGACCACCACCAATAACATCGAAAAAATTCACCAAATGGTATTGGACGACTGTCGAATCAAGGTTAGAGAGATAGCAGAGGCTGTGGGCATATCAATAGAACGTGTTTCTCATATATTGACTGAAGAATTAAGCATGCGTAAGCTAACCGCGCGTTGGGTACCGCGCTTACTCACTATGGACCAAAAACGCATTCGAATGAATATTTCCAAGGCCTTGTTGGAGCGGTTTAAGCGAAATGAGTCAGATTTTTTGCATCGATTAATAATTGTTGATGAAATTTGGATCCACTACTTCACCCCTGAGACGAAGGAACGGTCAAAACAGTGGACTGCGAAAGGTGAACCTGCTCCAAAGAAGGCGAAGACGGTTTCATCGGCCGGAAAGGTGATGGCGACTGTTTTTTGGGATAGTCGTGGAATTGTGTTCATCGACTATCTTAAAAAAGGTAAAACAATAACGGGAGTATATTACGCATCATTAATTGACAAGCTAAAGGCAAAAATTGTGGAAAAACGGCCACATTTGATGAAGAAGAAAGTGCTGTTCCATCAAGATAATGCACCGTCTCACACTTCGACGGTCGCCATGGCAAAAATTCACGAATTGCAGTTCGAATTGATTGACCACCCATCATATTCACCAGATCTGGCTCCCAGCAACTTTTTCCTGTTTCCCAAATTTAAAGTTTGGCTCGGAGGACAGAGATTTTCATCGTACGAGCAGATCATCACATCTGTAGAAGCCTATTTTGTAGAGCAAGACGCCAACTATTATTTAAATGGATTAAAGGAGTGGGAATATCGCTGGGAAAAGTGTATCGACTTAAAAGGAGACTATGTTGAAAAATAAAACTGAATTTGACCTAAAAAATATTTGTTTCTATGTTAGGCTCAAAACTTTTCAGACGACTCTCGTATGTGTTTTATGCCCTTACAACCTCCTTAAATCTAAAATTCCATAACAATTACGTACCTATAGGTGTCACTGGTTGTGCAAAGTAACAATTAATATCAGTTTCTCCAAAATGCGATTGATGCAGCTGTATCCTTGCATTTGCTGCGGCACTGGGGGAACTGTAGTTTACTCTCATTCTTCTGAAGGATCTGAAGTATTGAAACGTAGCATCTTCTCCAAACTGTTTGAAAAGATTTTCTATGGACGACTGTAAAGACACAGCATCAGATAATGTAACAGAGGTTTTCTTACTTCGGGATATCTCTCATACAAATTATTTATTACCTTCAAATCGTCATCTTTAAAAACTCGAGGATCTACGTTCGTTACGATTACAGAAGTTGGTAGATCTTCGTCGTTAACTAACTCGTCGATCGATCTAATATTTGTGTCATCTTTTTCTCTTGTAAATGTCAACTCTAACTGTTCATAGTTTGGATGTAAATTGGGTAAACCATCCACTTCATTAATTATTATATTTTCAGTGTCTTCCAGTTCCTCTTCCTCTGTCGTATCTCTACTGCAACGTTTTTCCTCCATTTTTATTTCCTATTCTGCTTACAGAATAAATGAGAATAACCAAGTATTAAGAAAAAATTTGAGTCTCTGAAAAATTAAGAGCTTAGGGCTTTTTATGGTCCAGCACTAATTATATGCATATACGAGATTGAAAATGAAGAAAAATATTTATATCTATATAAATATTGAATGTTTGCTAATAAAAATGAAATTGTTGCAGGAATATTTCAATTAATAAAATTGAAACTTACTTTATGAAATGGAAGTCTCTAATAAATTTTAATAAATCTATAAAATAAAATGAATTTTATATATGTGACTTGTGCTTCATCAAGTTGTACATTTTGATATTTACATATTATCTAATAATTAATAAAGAAGCGGAGCGAGCATAGATCTGTTTTGTCGAGCACGCAATTATGTGCATGAGTATATATGATTTGATGTTGTCATTGAAAATTGCTCATGGAAGGTCTATTATTGTGCTGAGATTCGTCGAGTATCGGATGATGATGCCAGACCGTCTCTCTTACCTCTCGACTCGGCAATGAGGAAAAGACCGAGCACCGACCTGGATGTTCTCAAGCGTTGCTTCGTCACGGGTGTATTTATGTTTCACGCATAGGCAAAGTCTACTCCATCTCGGTGGATCTAATCACCACGTTGCTCCGACATTCCCGCTTTCGCGTTTCACTGCCACCGACGTGTCTCTTCACCGACGGTGTTCGCTATTTCATTACCGCGACGTAGCCGCGCGTCATCGTCGACTTCAGGGCAACAGAAGCAGCAGACGATTCGCGCGTCCCGTCCGTATCGCGATCCGATCGAATGCCATCATCGGCTAGGGTCAGGTTAGGTACTTGCGGGCACGAATAAAATTGTTAACCAATTGGACAACATTGTCCAATCCGATTTCATCGGATGTGACGACCGATTGGCCGTTAAAAGGACAGTCTCTAGAAATTACTGGAGCAGCTCCACAAATTCTTTATCCAGCAACCAATTAAAATCTTTGACAACTCTTCGAAACATCTTGAAATCAGCATTGCTGGCATTTTAAATTTGAATCGTTATTAGTAGTGAAAATGTTATTGTTTTATTTAAAGATGTAGTACTTATATGTTTTAATTTTAGTGGGTTGTATAAATAGTGGATAAGTAAATTTATATGTTTATATTTTATACACATGCATAATTATTGTTATACGAAAAATATGATTGAATATAAAATAAGATTCTTATACACTGTGATTTAATATTCTTTATTATCTATGTTATGTAGGTAGAATATTGCTAGTATTGCTACATTGATCTCGGTAGTATATTGCACACAAAAATTATTCTCCTAAATTATTTAACAACAAAATTGCTTATCTATATATAAGTAATTTTTCAAAGCCAATATCAGGTACCACGACCTGTAAATTTTTAATTTTGTTAGGTCACTCGCTGGTCATGTATATATAAATGCTTTGCATATCACAAATAATAATTATTAACAAAGATAATTGCTATAATTTAGCAATAACTAATGCTTGGCATTAGCTTAACATGTTTTTGAGACATTTATATATATATATATATGATATCTTTAAAATTTAAATTGAACATTCTGTGTTTAAACCTATAGCTTATAAAAAATATGTAGAAAAAGATTACGTACGCCTTTTTGTTATAATACACGCATACTGGTAATGTGCATTACATGCACATTATTTGCGAAAACGTTCTCCCCCGCATTATCAATTTAAAAAAATTAGTTTCATTAAAGCTTGACTAGATCAAACGTAGCGATTAAAATAATGTCTGCGACATTAACAATTCCTTGCTGTCGGCAAGGAGTTGCTTGTACCTACAATGATAGCCATAGTATCGATTATCTACGATAAAAGCAAATTACATATGAATCTCGCCACATATGTTACTTCACATTGACACGAATGTAAAAGATGCCCACTAAAAAGTTTCAGACATGTGCAGAACGAAGTAGTACGATGTACACTGATATACTAGATTAATCTCTTTTTCAGTTATTTATCTATCCGTTGCATAACGCGAAATTTAATACTGAATGAAATATATTTGTAGTATTTATAATAATCTAAAAAATTATTCTGTATTCTTCTTTTTATCTAACAAATTAATATTTCACGTTTCTATACACAACAGGATTTGTACTTGTGTGCATGCGACGTGCACACATATGTCTAATACGATCGTCGTCTACACATGTCTGTCGCAATTAAAATTAATATCACCGTGACACAAAAAAAAAAAAAAAGCATTTACAAACGGCCTATATCATTACATGTTACAAGAGCCTTATTGTAACGTGCAACCGCTTGCGTTTTTCGGCTCCTTGCTACTTTGATGAATCGCCTCTTCTTTAACTGGTGGCAAGTTCTGCTCCTTTTCTGCTTTCGCCGCCGCTATTCCGGCTAATACTTTATATGTACCCAAATTCCAGATAGGATTTAGTGATGGCATTTGAAAGTCGATCGGGCTGACTAAGCCATAAGTAGCTTTGGTGTCCAAGGCTGGAACTTCGCCCGGTACTGTATGATGATATCTAATATTTAAATTCAGATTAATGTATTGTTTAAGCATCATACATTTTAAAACGATATATCGTATTATATGTAAAATGATAATAAATCTAAACGAGATAATTACATCAATCCATTTTCTCGATTACATTTATCGAGAGTAAGCTTCACTATAGGTGCCAATCGTCTAAACACAGTGTGTTGATCTGGTTTAACGCGAGGCGCAGGCCCGTTCGTTTTCCCGTATTCTTGACAGAGCGCTTTCGCCTTCTTTAAACATGAATCGCTTTCTTGCATCGCTCGTATCGCTTCGCCACACTTATCCATTGCCAACAAGTTTTCACCGCAATAATTATAAGCCTAGAGTAATCAGAGCATAAGTAAGCTTACAAAGTGTAAATAAGCAAATAAACAAGAAATAATAACAAATCAATTATATTTACAAAATTACAAATCAATTATATTTTATCAATTATATTTATTATCAATCGTATTTACAATTAAATGATCATCGACTTTTATAAATTTATAAACTTACGTAAGATTGATAAAACGCTGATTTAAGCTCCAAATATTTCGTCCATTGGGCAATTATTTCTGGCTTAAATGGACGAAGAGTATTGGCAGCATCCAGAAACAACTTACTGGTCTCATTGGCTAAAGCTGATATCAAGCTAGAATTATGTTTGAGCTCTACCGCTCTAGCCACTGTCACTATAAAATGATGAAGAGCCAATGTAAGTATATTCAAGTAAACTCTTATTAAAATGATATTTTCGCACAAGTACAACCTTCTTGTGCTTCTGCTGTGCATTGATTAACGTATGCATTTAGCACACGAGGATCTAAATCACTTCCCAAAGGTGGTGGACTATCCAACTGTGGCAAAAATTCAGTCTGTACAAAGGTAAATATTCCAGCAGCTCGTCTTAGCATACTGTGCACTTCTTTAGCCTCGTTCATTGTTATGCTATAATTATGATATATGTATTATGATATAATTATGATATGTGTACATTAAGAAAATGAATGAATTATATTATAATTAATAGAAAGGAAGAGAAAGATCATTTCTTCTATATTTTTATACAATAATCACTATATACTTACTCATCTTTTGCAGCAATCATTGCTGCATGTTTCATAAACCATAGGCCTATATTGACACTCATATTAGCTGCTTCATAAACAGAATCGGCGCTGGAGCTTTAACAAAAAATTTGTAATTAGAGATCCATTTTGAAATTGTTCACAGGTTGTCTTAGAACTATTTTATTAAATATCCTTTTAATTATTTACAATGTGCCGCCACCAAGTAACGTGTGTGTCCACTTGAACATGAGAACATTTCTGAGCTTGCTAGGGTTGGGTCTGCCAACATGTTGAGCCTCTTCCTCAGATGGATTGACTTCCCATAAAAATCCATACAACAAACTGAGATAACTGAGAAATGCAGGCTCTATAGTATCACTGGTATTGTTTGCATTTCTGATTAGATCCAGCAGTCTGGCTCTTGATAGCTTTAAGTCACTGAAAATACACAAGCCTCTTAACATAAAGGGGAGAAAGAATCTTTTTTTTTTTTTTTTTCAAAAAGAAAAGGAGATTTAGATATGAGAAAGAAATACGAAAGTGTGTGATTTTAACATCCCATTATTAGTATAATTAATAACTGATATTACAATACAAATGTGAGTTTTTATAAAATTATATGTTCGCATGAGAATTATTGAACATCGCAGCCTCCAGCGGTCCAAAAAAAGTCATCGTCAACAAGTGGTGACCGCGAAATGCGCAATATATGATAGAAATTTGTTAACCTGCAGAGCTTTCTGGTGGCGTCCGTAGGATTGGAGACTTTTAACTCAAACTTCTGATTCGATGTTGCTTTCAACACATTACGGTGAAACCAGTGCGCCATTGTTCGTCGTCTGAATCTCGTGGGATTTAATGTCCCGATTTGGTCTCAACGGTCTTGACCAACCTTGGGTTAGCACTTTTTGACAGATAAGGTAAAATGGAACAGCGTTTCAAGTCTCAATTGCCACGCTCAATGGAAGGCTACTCCACTAGCTATGGAACGCGTCACGTGTCTACGCGTAATAGTTGTGATACTATAAGCTACTGTATAAAGTATATAAACTATAAACAAACAAAAGAGAATAAAGTAATCAACATATAATTGAAGTGGCTGGAATATTGTAATACTAGTATTTGTGTATGGCATATAGTAACGTATATTTTGTAATTTACAAAAAGATATACTTATATCAATGTATACACACAATGTCTGCACTTATTCCTAGCTGTATTTATTAATTAATAAAAATTTTAATTGTAAGAATTGCAATTTCAAAAATTTCGAAAACTGACAGAGTATCACAATCGGCAAGGAAATTGCACTATTTTTTCTAACTTCCATTTATAATCTTTCCTAATTATATTTTCTTGACATTTCTTGATTTTCAAATTTAATTTCTCATTTTTTACTTATATTATTTAAAATATTGAAATTCTTGAAATTTCAGTTCATAAAATTTTAATTATTGAAATGAAATAAGAAAGAAATATTCCTTTAGAATTACGTTTGCAATCTTCACTTTAAGCACAAACATACACATATATAACATACATTAGTTAGACTTTAATTAAATAATAAAGATTTTATAAAGCAATTATTATCGACGTCGAACAATTTATCGACAGTCGATAATTTATCAACAATAGGTAAACGCATTTTTTTATCTATATAACCGAATTGATACAAAACATAATTTTAAACAATCTTTTTTTTTCTAGACTTTGAATTTTAGTTCCAATCGCACAATATTGTCCGTGCATGTTGTTTCTTCGGTGAGACTATCTCAATGTACATATAAATTATAGAATTGTTGTATTAAGCAAATATTACCGTCAGGTGACGGTAGTTGTACGTGCCAAAAATAAGTGATATTTTTAACTTTTTTTTCGTTTTCGGTAAAAAACCAATGTTTACATTGACTATTTTTTACGTACTTTAATTGTGTACAGGAACTTTGCATTTCTTTAAATCCAATTAAAAGATATGAAAAAGTGGCAAAGTGTCGATAATTGACCTTGATTTTAAGATCACCTGACGGGCTCACCTTAATTGCAATGTGTCAAACGTGAAACTATCACGTCGGAGGAGTGCTTTACGATAACGTAGTTTTTTTTAAATATAATCACAGTCACGACGCCGGTCAATATCTAGGTACAAGGTACGATGCGCATGCTTAGTGTATATACGCCCAAAATTGGTGTAACTTGATGTGGAAGACATTTTATGACGCCGAGCGTATGCGCAATTGCGCATGCTATATATAGACCGTTGCCGACATCAAGCGTCTGTACTTGGTATACGTAGCTGTGCTCTCATCGGGCTCTCAAGTGCTCAAGTCTCATCTCGCGTTTACTCGCGTGACATTTTTCCTCGTGTGTACAGCGTTACCCAGTTACTCTGGCGTCTTTCGAGGAAGAGGTAAGTGAGTGGAATTAATGTCGGTCTGCGCGCAGAGGACGCGTCGACGAATGCGACGAATGCGACGAACGTGATAAAAGCGATGACGCAGCCGGAATTGTGCGACCGAGTTCTCGCGAGAGATACTTCGCAGCAGGATTCCGATTTCCGAGGAACGATCGAAAAGACAAGTTCTACGCTGTCATCTGGATGCTGCGTGTCAAGTACAGGCTGCCAAGTTGGACATGCCATCGATATATATCGCTGACAATTGCCCACGATTCTTACAGCCAATTGCCAATTTGAATTTGCCATATGGCGGTGAGCGAATATTGATGCCGGGAATAGGCGCGTCCTTGAATGGCGGCGATGGTTTATCTGTAAACTCTTCGGCCCGGAAATAATCGCGGCAGTCGATAAATCCTTAAAACGTGACAAAAGCAACAAAGCAGTGTCTGTATTGCGTCGGTGTGAAACAATATATAGTTTTAACAATGGGAGCTACATATAATAGAACGGTGTAACTTTTATTCACGTACAAACAAAAGAAAAAGTGTAATATATATGTAATTCTGTATAGTTTTGATTTTATTGTATATTTATATCATACATACATATATATATATATATATATATAGTGTCCGATAATGACTGGATCATCTTTCGTGGGTAGATACAGCGAATTGAACTGACAGTCTGTCTAGAAACGAAGAGTCTTGCACTTCGCAATTTCCGCAATAGTTACGAGAAATTAATTTCTAAAGAAATTATTTCTCGGTATTCATCGAATTCATCTATCACTAAACGCTAAGTGTAATTGCGCGGCAAAATACGGCACAAAATGACGGCACCAGCCACGTTTTTGTTCAGGAAGGGGGGGAGGGAGGAGTTGTGTTTACTACAAGCAGCAATGTCGACATTGCCGGCAATGACAATCCATAAGTGGCAAAAAAAACATCTCCCCACGTTGGACGGTCGTATCTCGCTGTGTGCTTGCGATCTTATTAATTTCTTCTTAATTATTGATAAAAATTGGAAAATTGTTATGTACAGGACTTTGATTCAGTCCACTGCAGTATTTATTCATGATAGAGATGATCCAATTATTATCAGGCACCTTATGCATTACACAGTTATAAAATAAAAATTATATATGTTTTGCTTACATAAAATTATACCACAACGCAAAATTATTCGAGATATAATATTGTTAAAATTATACAGAACAAAAATATACAGAATCTTTTCCAAAAAAAGAAACTATGACTGATCAAATTAACGATTTGAACTTTATTGTGAACATAGTGATCGTAAAAGTATAAAAAAAAGTGTCAATATTTTGATATGTGAGCTGTTTGAAAACAAATATAATGTATGATTTGGCAGATTCGTTTTGCAAATTATTACGAGTTTTATTAACTTGAAATTTTGCAGGTTACTTCTACCTTATCATTTCTGGTCTTGCGGTAATACTGACTTCCGACTCCTGCATTAGAGATAATAATTAGATGATAGCAGATTATATGTGTGCAACACTATATATATACTTGTATAATCATATATCACTTGGCCAGTAATGTAAGAAACTAAAATAATAATATAAATAGTCATACAAGAAATTATTCAAATGGTACATTAAATTAAGTTAAAAAGATATAGAGCAAAAGTGATTTAAATTTCAATTAATTTAATTAATTATTAACTTGCATCCAGTAATAGTTACAATATTTCACTAATATGAGTAAAATTTTAATTTCTGTTGCTTAATACACAAAAAGAAATTAGAGATTAGAGATGATAAATTATATAGTTACAAATTTTACTATAAAATAATTTCGTCAGTTTATAAAAAAAAATTGTTGTTTAAGTTAATCGATTTAGCCGAAATTATTATAGAAGAATAATGATACATCTCTTGGATTACAGATGGGTGAGCCGTTGGGTTTGAGCAGCAGCGAAGTTCGCAAACTTTGTAAAACTCCAGACCCCTCGACAAATGGGTATATAATGCAGCAGACAATGTTCCGTATAAAAGACCCAAGAATCACCCTACCTTTCTATACTGAAGTTCTTGGAATGACCTTGCTGCAAAAGCTCGACTTTCCAGAAATGCAATTCTCCTTATATTTCCTTGGATACGAGGACCAGAATGAAATACCACTCGATCGTAGAGAAAGTATCGAATGGACATTCCGTAGAAAAGCGGTCATAGAATTAACTCAGTAAGTTTAAAATATATAATATTTTTGAAGAACTTTTCTTACTTTGTAAGAATTTATGAAAGTTAATGTATTTTTATTTAATTTTATAGAAAATTAATGTATGTTTTAGCAATTGGGGGTCAGAAACAGATCCTGATGTAAAATATTACAATGGAAATATAGATCCCAAAGGATTTGGTAAGAAAATTGTAAAATCCATTAACTATTCTTAAAATTATTCTTTAAACTATATAAATAAAATTAAAATATGTAAAAAAGGAACTAAAATTTTTATAATTTTATAAGTATCACGCATTTTTCTTCCTCTCTTGAAACACAGGTCATATTGGAATAGCAGTACCTGATGTTAACAAAGCGTGTCAAAGATTCGAGATGTATGGTGTTGAATTTGTGAAGAAACCAAATGATGGCAAAATGAAGGGGATCGCCTTCATTAAAGACCCTGATGGTTACTGGATTGAAATCCTACATGGCGCTAACATTGCCAATTATATGTTAGGTGCTTAATATATCTTGCGTTGGAGCAATAAGTCCTTAAATTTAATGTAATTCAATGTAATTCAATGAAGTTCAATGTAATTCATTGTATTGGATGTAATGTTCTACTATGTAATCAACAATCAGAGATTACTATAAAACTCGATATATATTACATATATACATATATAATATAAATATATAAATACATATATATATATTATATAGACTCAGTATAGATGTGAGAAACCAGAAACATTATATATAAGTTAACGTGAGTGAAAATGATACGTATTTATGCGCACTATATATCTTTTAGCACACATTGTATATTTTTTTTATATTATATTATGTTATATGTGTAGAGTATGTAACAGAATTCTCGACAAATAAAATGAAAATATTTATTTTTCGTTTCCAAATGGTCCATATTTTACTGTACATTTAATAATATTAAGTCGATATTTATCTGAAAAGAAAAATTTTATGAAAACAAAAATATTTTTTGAAAATTAAACTTTATTCAAGTATACATGCAAAAAGTTGTATATCTCGATACAATTTCAGACGCATATATGTATACAGTACAGTAGTAAACGTTGAAATGTAATGTGGTAGCCAATAAACTTACAGCTTCTAACATGTTCATTGTTCATTGGTTATCGCGTCGCATTTTGCCGCGCGGCAAGCGTTTCTGCCAGTTTCTGCGTCCAGTATTGGTCCAGTATGTAGGCAGTGGAAGTGAGTACAAGCCATTATATACATACATGACACAAGCTCAGATGGTGTGTGGGTAGTAGGTGTCTTCACAGCGAAGTTTTCGCGAAATATAAAAGAGAGGCAGCGAATTACTGTATATAATTCATCTCGGTCTGATATTACTTTTTATACTCCCTGATATCACGTGTTTTTCGTGCACGGCGATATCGCGCTATTCAGTTTCTTCCATATTTCCTCAATGTGCGTTTCTGAGTTAGAGGTTAAGCTGTCAGCCGCAATCTGAAAAACAATCTGTATTCCCCGATAGGTACGTTTCTTTAAAATTCTTACGTATTAACATCTCTGCACGTCGTGATTAGTTTGTTGAGCCTACTCGTCGTCACAATTAAAGGACTACATTCCCTCATATTCCTTCACTGCAGGATGATTGTCATTCTAATCTTTTTAGGTATGGTAGAGGATAGAAAGTATGAGATTCCAAGCCGTATCGAGTGCGACGGATATCGAGGTACGTTGAAATACGTCGGACCCGTTGGAAACACCAAGGGAGAGTGGTTGGGAATAGACTGGGACGATTCGACTCGTGGCAAACACAATGGCACTTACGAAGGCGTAGAGTATTTTCAAGCCAGGTAAAACGAAGCAATTTACATGAAGCAATTGATAACATTTTTGCAACAACAGTAGCAATAATCTATAACTTTGCATATAATGTTCAACAGACATTCCACATCAGGCTCTTTCATACGACCAGGCAAAGCCAAGTTTGGGATATCTTGCCCACAAGCCATCAAAATGCGTTATGGACTAATTGATGATGAATTAGCAGGCATAGACAGGGACGAAGTATCGACTTTAAGGAAAGAGATGAACGCACCGTTTTTAGAGCTCGTTGGCTTCTCCAAAGTGAACAAAAAACAGAGCAAGTTTGATCAATTAAAAATAGTATGGCTGAGGGAACAGTGTGTATCCAATGCAGGAGAGCCACAAGAATTGGAAGAATTATGTTCTAATTTGGAAGAACTGGATTTATCTAGAAATTTGATAAACTCGTGGAAAATTGTAGCAGATATATGTTCCCAACTTCGTTCTCTGATGCGTCTTAATGTTAGGTGAGTAAGGAAGTAATTAGAGAATGTTAGATATATTGATGCTGATAGATGGTATATTGCATGTTAATAAACTGCAAGTATAGGAAAATTTGTTTTATTATTTTCACAGTGAAAATCATTTGCCTATAGAAGATATGACAGCATTAAAAGATTCATTTTCAACAGTTAAGCATTTAACTATAGCTAGAATGAATTATAACTGGTTTGATATTCGACAATGTATATCCATGTTTCCATCGATCGAAGAACTTTCAGTTTCTTTTAATATTGTTACAACTGTAGACGATATAACTTGTGCAAATACTAATTTAATGAAAATAGTTATATTAATACTTGAAGGAAATCTAATATCAAGTTGGGATGAGATACTTAAACTAGGTTCCCTTCCATGGTAAGTTGCATTACAAAATATTCAGTCCTCTTTTTTTTTTTATTCAATTTCTTTATTTTTTAAAAAGCATGAAATTTATGTTTTATAAAACTAAGAGAAACTCTTTTTACAGCTTAGAATATCTTAATTTGAATTTAAACAAAATAGATAGAATTAGATTTTCATCAACACCAACAGATAAGACTGCTTCATTTCCTACTCTACGTCAACTACATATTTCGGAAAATCACATATCAGAGGTAATAAATTTTCATAGATAGTATCAATCGAAAAAATACATTTTTTGCATTTATGCAGTTAAAATTTCTAACAATTTTAGTGGCAATCCATTAGCGAATTGGATAAACTATCAAACTTGGAAGATTTAAAATTCAGAGGAAATCCCATTTTGGAGAACGAAACTGTAGAGACTGCTCGACAATTGATCATTGCAAGAATAGCGAAATTAAGAATCTTAAACAGTACAGAGATACTTCATGATGAAAGGAGAGGTGCTGAGTATGATTATTTAAAATTGTATTTACCATTGTGGCTAGAAACTGAAAGCAATTTGGAGAAAAGAACATTATTTGTAAATGAACATCCACGATATCCTATCTTAGTCGATAGTACGTATAAAGTTTATATTTTTTACATCAACAAAGAATTCACTTAATTACGATTTCTTGTAAAATAAAAATATATTTTACACTTTCAGAATATGGAATTGCGGATATTCCTTCGGTTAAGCCGAAAATAGAAATGATTTCAAATGTGATAACTGTGGAGTTTGTATGTCCGGATGATCCGCGTCAACCTAGAGGAATTAAAAGGAAGTTACTTAAAAATATGGAAGTTCAAAAAATGATTGGGCTTGCTCAAAGACTTTTTAAAACTGGTGGGAAAATTCCAGCTCTTTCGTTTATCCCACGGAATGTAAGTTTAATGTCATACTAAAAACAGTTATACTTATTAAAAAATCAACGATACAAATAATATTATACTGTAACATTTCAGCTATCAAACGATGAAATCTCATTGGATAAACCCTTGCAAGAACTTAGTTACTATTCAATACAGGACGGTGATCAAGTTCTTGTGAGGTGGTGATACATCGAATAAATTACATTTATAGATATACGACTGTATTTTTTACGCTGTTAAAGTCCGCTCTATAATACTTTGTTATTAAAATTTTTTTAATTGCATCGCATATTCTTAATGAACCTTGTTGAGATTGTGAAACTTGATAACGTAAGCTTAAGTCAACGAGATAAATACTCTTGCCACTATTGAAAAAAGTATATCTTATATTTTACATTCCTTATAATACAGTTGCAATCGAAAGTACAAATTATAAATAGGCCTTTGTACAAGAAGCTGCATATGAAATATATTTTCTGTAAATGACACAGATCACTTTGCCTAAGTAAAACGGACTGCTCAGCTTGGTGCCAATGTTGTACTATCAATTTTGCTGAGCCTTTTGTTCGATCTTGGCAGCCTCTTCTTTCTCAAGTTGTTCTCTCGTCAATAATGACAATCCAAGTTGGTTCTCACGCGTGAATGGCTGTGCCATTTGTCGTAACCATCTTTTACTGATCTGAAAATTGTAAATAAACATTGTTACTAGATAAATTGTCAAATTTTAATTATTAATCACAGCACCTACTACCAAACGAAAAATTAATATTACCTGTATAGCTTCTTCAGTTGATAAGTTGCATAAGCTATCATTCAAATGTTCCTGTATCCATTTTGGTAATTTGCTTCGTTTATCTATTCTTGAAAATCTCTACAGTGAAAGTATGGAAATGTCATTATGTTACAAAATGCAAAAATATTTTTGTAAATACGACAGATTGTTCCTCAAAGAAATATACCTTATCTGCAAACACCATGATACCATAATCTGTTTTCCCTCTGATCGCACGTCCTACGCATTGTGCGGCGTGTCTCATGGCATCAAAAGTTAAGAAATCGTTTTCTCGAATCTGGGGAAACATTACAGAAACACACACACACACACACACACACACACACACACACATATATATATATACATACATATATATATACCTTATTCAAGTAAGCAGAAGCGTTTTATAATGGTTTCATGGATTTACCTGAAACTGATCTCTGAGATATTCCAAACGCGCCTTCAAGATACGTGACTGTGTGTACACATAAGGTATACCAAACATCAGCACGGCTCTGCCCAAATGATGATCAAAGTCGACGCCTTCAGACACCTTTCCACGAGCCACCGAGAGTAGAACAGCTCCTCTACCGTTCTCACAAGCCTTTATGTAATTGATCAGAGCTAGACTGGTTTCCGCCGAATCCTGAGTTTCGATGAACAATAATTTATGCCTCTGAAGTTGATCCACAACTCCTTGATCATACCTATGGCATTTATAAATTATTATAAAATTTTAGCGTAATATACTTCATTTATAAACATATATGTACATACCATGCGGCTACTACGGATTCCATATATAAATATGACGTAAAAAAGCAAACTAAGCCGTCGGGCACTGTTGCAGCAAATTCGACTAACAATTGACCATAATTTCTTATAACAGCCACATCCTCTCGTGTTTCGTATTTCGACGAAATGGCAACTTGATCGTTACCTTTAGCAACGATCTGATTTTGAGAAAGCATAAACAGATAAAATATTAATAAAACATTAATCATTTATCTTCAATATTTTTCTAACTTACCATAGGTAAAAGACATGGTCTAGCCAATGTCATTGTAAACGATGACATTATAACTGGATGAAAGTTTAAAACTTTGGGATACATATCCAATGGGGACAACGTCCCGGAAGTGATTACCACGGACTGGAATCTATCGAATATGGGTTTCATAGCAATGGAAGAATCTAGACAGCTAAAATGTAAAATTGGATTCAATACTGTTGGCGTTTTATCGTCGAATGGTTCCACTATAATTGTGAAGCCGTGCGTGTATGTGGAGACTAATGTCGCAAGATGCGTCACTAGGATTATCGGAGAGAAATCTGTTAGATCTGTTATCTCCATAGTACGTAAGAGGGATGCTAATCTTTGCGCGCAAAATCGCAACGGTTTTCGTTCAATAGCGACCTTCGCTTGGATATCCTTAAGAAATGCTGCTGGTGATTCTTGCATAACGTGTTGAACGCGTAAGCGAGTTTTTAAATATTCGACGAATCGTTTCAAAAAGCTAACAAAATGCTCCGCATTTCTTATGTTACCGGGAACGACTTCTGCAAAAAAAATTTTGCAATGAAAATTATTTGAACATTTTACATGTGTGAAACATATAATATTTTTAAAATACAATTTTTTTTAACCTTCAAGTATTTCATTCGGTAAAATAGGGTTGGCTAAGATGACATCAGTTTCTCTCTGGAATTGAGCATCCTTTAGACCTTCGACCAATCTGTCGTACTCTTCCTTCAATTTATTTACATCCTCTTGTCTCATTCTGTATCAAAATACAATAGTCTCTGTATTATAAATCCTAAATAAAACACTATATGCAAGAAATGCTGGACTGTTTTTCCAGAAGATTGAGGATCAATTTAGGCTATAGTGCCAATTGAAAAAGATATGATATATAAGATTTTTGAAATACTTACTCTGCCACAGTTTTCTCTAAGAGTTGTATGTTAGCTGTACTTTTCTCCATTGTCTTTCTGTTTATCTTTACACTCATAGAATCAATGCAGACATTATCTAAAATTTATAAACTGTGATTTTTTGCATTGCAAATTATTTAAGCGCCGATAAACGAATGTAATGTTAATTCTTATACCAATATTATGAGCCTCATCAAAGATAACTACTGAACTCCTGCTTAACTCTTTGGATACAGTCTCAGCGATCTTTGGATCCAATAAATAATGATAACTGTACACTACAATCTGTGCATGCAAGATCTGAAAGTGTTAAACATCGATTATCAATTTTATATCTACTTATTATTTAAATTGTTTATAAAAACGAATAAAAAGATTTCTGAAGTTTTTTTTACTGTAAATCTTGCAAGGAAGTACGGACACCAATTACGATCTTTTCCGTATTCTTTTAAATCATCGATGGAGTAAATACCAGGAGGCATAATTTGTTCCTTGCCCTCCATATCAAATCCTTCGTAAAAATTACAAATCGGAGTAGATTCGTCATAATTATGTCTCTCTCGTACATACGATGCAGTAAGAGAATGACAACGTCCATCTACTATTTTACCCTCTCGTTCTCTACTGACCTATGTATAAAAATACAATTCATTTTAATATATATATATATATATATCTACAATCAGTTTTGAGAACAGTTTTAATTTTACCTCAGGATGAATACACATATTTTTACGTGAGCTAAGAACTAGACCGACAATTTTTGGCTTGCTTTTGGTTTCTTCCTCATAATAATCCATAAGCTTCTTCAGCTCCTCTATAACTTTCTCTATCTCTGGCACTGTCCGGGAACAATAAATCAACTTTGTTACGTCTAATGGATGCTCCAGCATATATGCTACAATGAGTGACAATAAAGTTATTGTTTTGCCAGTGCCTGAAGGCATCTCCAACAAACAATGTCCCTGAAGCACAGAATTTAATTATTTAATTACAATATTCTAAATCACACAGCATCAGTGAAATGCAAAAAAAAGAAGAATAAATGATACCTTGGCATCCAGGCCACGCTTGAGTTCGAGCATGTATGCATACTGTTCTGGATAAATATAATCATATGGGAAATATACGATCAATCCGTCAACGCTTATCCTGTAGCAGAAATGTAAATTTATAGATAAATATATAGACGAGCAAATTTCATTTGATGTAACGCTCATACTTACTTCATATTGTCGTTTACTGTTACATGCGCATGTATAACATTTATATATATTTACAGGCTATATTTCAATGTTGGTAATTATTCGAAATCGATTCCTCAGCTCAAATTTTAATAAAAATATATTCATTTAACGCATTTTCACTCAAATCAAAAGAATCTGGCAGAAAAACACGGCGGTTTTCTGTCTTGCGAAATAAGTTATTAAGTTAAAGAACTTTGTTTTGTCCGGAGCCACCGATTAGAGGTGAAGTGAAGTGTCTTCTGCTCCGCGTAGTACTTTGATCAAACTCATCAAACTGTAAAGCGGGGAGCACAGACTTTTGCATAACGCATAACATGTAATGCATAAGAAATTTAATCCATCAGAATTCTTTATTTCATGGAAAGGAAGAGTTAAAATTCTTTTTTTATTTGGAACCTCAGGGAGTCGATTGTGTATTTTGAAATGAGAGAAGTAGACCGAGTAGACGACACGGTCACACAGAAATACCGAACTGACCGAACACTGACCGAACCGAACTACCGAAGTCACCGAAATCGAACAGTCCGACTCTAAAGCGGGGAGCACAGACTCTTGCATAACGCATAACACGTAATGCATAAGAAAATGTACCAATCAAAGCCCTCCGTTTCCTTCTTTTCCATGAAATAAAGAATTCTGAATGGTTGAATTTCTTATGCTTTATGTGTTATGCGTTATGCAAGAGTCTGTGCTCCCCGCTTTAAGGTTCGAAACTTATGGCCCGTCTACAATACACGTAGTAATAGTACTAGTGACATTTCTATTTCATTTTATTCTATACATTCTATCTCACATTATCCTACACGTTCTATCCTAGGCAAGTTGAAGTTTTATGTTAATTTTTATGCGTAATAAATTTTTTATGCGTAAGTTTAAACATTTTAATTGCATATAATGATATATTTGTGCTTTGGCACATAAGAGAATATTGTTTAATCTTTTTAAAATATTATTTACATAGACGAATGTAACATAACCCCGGTACTCAGTGATTCTTATAAAGCTGAAATCAGACTACGCATTGAAGATTGAGATTGAAGAGTGAAGATTGAAATTTGATCAATGAGGACAAAGGGATTTTAGCTTCTATTGTTTCGATTGGTCAAATTTCAATCTTTCAATCTTCAATCTCAATCTTCAATGGCTGCGTTCAGCAGACTCAACAGTTTTGCAACCGTTTTATGATTGTCTGCTGAGATAGGACCATTCTTCTAGATCTAAAAGTATGATCC